TATATAAACTCCCATTCATACGCTTGATCATGCCTACTAGGGAAAATTAGTTACACCTAAATCAATCGCTGGCATTCAAATTCGACAGTAGATTCAAAATTAATTTCAACATTCTATCACTTACGGGCAAGGTTATTACTTCCACGAAGTAAGAAAGATCCCATCCCATTTGTTATTTAATATTCCTAAGTTGTAGATATAACTCGCAAAAACTGTATCCATCCACCGAAAAGATCAAATTTCTTTTTAATTGATTGCCACATCTGGGTTGTGTCTTTCTCTCAGATTAATAACTATTTCTAATAAATGATTTGAGGAAGTGGTATGACATACGACTCTATACCACTTCCACCAGAGAGATAAAGTAATCCTTGTCTTGTACCTGCCAGTGGAAATATGATCATCTACATAACAGGTATAATGAACAGAGATTCACATAGATACTTGATGTTTTCACCTGATTCGAATGCACAGTTTGTTTTATCAATATTCCATATCATCAAAGTATCTTCAGTTATATTCGATTGAATCCGAATGAAGTCAATAACGCCTTGAACAATATCATGATCCATTCGCATAATATCCCAAGCTACTGATTCAACACCTTTACACCGTTCATAATTACTGATTGGATCTTTAAGAAAATCAATCATGAAAATCAACCGATGGTCAACAGAACAACGAACGCGAGTGACAAATTTTGCATCACATCCTTCCAAAGGATTAAGACTTCTGGCATTGACTGGGAGGCTGCATCATTATTTTTTCATTTAATTGGATCGTTTTGCCATACGCTTTATATAAAAATGTTGTATTTCCGATTTCTGGAGCCCAATACTTGTTGAATGACGCCATTCTTTTGCAAAGTTTGATGAATTTCCAAGTGTTGTAAAAATGGAGTACTGTAAGTTTTTGCATATAAAGTTGGATGGGACTTTCCCGGTTTACGAATTTAAAATAGGTTCCTAGTTTAACATTGGGAACGTTTCCAGTAAAATCAAGTCATGAGAAATAGTAAATCATATGACCAATAATGTGATTTTACTGGCAACATTCCCATATGAGTTTATGTCACTTGGTGGTAAAACTTCTTCGTTCGTTTCAACATAATGGAGACTACGAGTCTAAATATAATGTGGAAGTCCGTAGGAGAATTCGCGAAAGAACCTAATATTATTGATCCAAATGTATTGTATTGAAAGCGAAGCAAAATAGATATTTATAACCATTCAATCATAAAAGAAATATATCGCCGGAAGGCACATTTTCTAATTATCTTTCCAATAGCTTCTGAAAATACATACCATATATCAAACTCATAACCAGGCTTCCTTCATCTTCACCAAACATTTTCTTAATATTCTCCTTTGCCGGTGTCCGAAGCGCTCTAGCGTTTTCCTTTAACCACTTCTTTGCGACCTCTTCATAACCATATTCTTCCTCAAACTTACGAAGCCAATTGATAACTTCAGTTTTGCTACCTTCCTGTGGCAGTGTTGTCATTAAGTAACAACTAGAGAAAGGTGTAAATTTGGTGATTTTTACATCCATTTTGTAAATGATTTCTTAAAACAGTAAAATAGATCATTAAATTACGTCATTTCAGTTTTTCTATTTGGAATAAAGCAAGCAATTTTCTCGAACTTTCCAACATGAAATTAACATTGGTTATATATCCAATTTTCAATCCTATTTTATTTTTTTAAAAAACAAAATAAATCTCCGACTCATTGGCGCAATTCGAAAACACCTCAATTATCATGCTTTTAATTCTATTGATTTCATACTTGAGCATATTGATTGAAAACGCTCTATATCCAGTTGTTAGATCATATATGTATGTGTTACCCTCGGGCTTTGACTGCGCCAAAATTGGATATGACATCAATATATGTCGGACCTTAATTTGTCTTGCCGTCATCCAAGCATTCTAGAGAAAGCCGTAGCAAAGTCATGTGAAGGAAATTTTTGTATAATTCGTTTGCTCTTAGTTAACGATAGAAATGTAACCAAATTTTGAATAGATAGTTCCTTTCTCTTTGGCCTATTACAGAGAGGCAGTAATAGTTGCATATGTAATATTTATTCCATATTTATTTAAATAAACAGATTTCTTTTATTTCCTTTCAATACTTTATATTATTTCGCTAAAATTGATATACATGCTATTTTCGTTACATCGAAATTACAGACTAAAACTATAAACTATATTTAATTACCTCTCTTACACAAATAGGAGGTAACCATAGGCACAGGGCTCAACATTTGAGGAACTTTTTGTTTTCTTTTTTTTGTAGAAAAAATTTTTATTACACTTTTAATTATGGACATTTTGTAAAATAACATTATATATTGTAACGTTCAATGAATGTAACTTGGTAAAGTTTGTGACAGTTTTATCTTAAAATCTTGTTATTATTTATGACATACAAAGATAATTTAGTATCACAGAAAATTGTAGAAGGTTTTTATAGAGTTTGTTCAAGAATTAGACTTTGAATTTTTAATGAACGATATACTTTAAGGAATCAGGTAAATTTGGTAAGCTATTTACTTGAGTATTTAAGCTCGTTAAGGAATTGGGTATAGTTTGTAGGATATTTATTTGGTATAAGAGCATAAAGTAAAGTTTCGTTAAGGAGTTGTGTAAAGTTGGTATTTTACAAATAATTAACAAGTTGCGAGTTATTAATTTTCGATATCTTTGTCATTCTTGTTAAGCTTCGTAATCGTTAAACTTTCAATAGTATCATCATAAATAATAGCTGATACTTCATGATCTAATTCTTCTGCTTTCATCTGATCGAAATGATGAATAATTTCGGATTTAATTAATTAATTGAAACATAATTATTCATTTGACCATTTAACTGATCAAATTCTTCAAATGATTTATTAATACTAGTAGAAGCATCTATGGCATTCGATTGTTGAAGGTTTGATTCATGTTCATTCGTTAGATTATTTTCTTTTGTGCTGGTTATTGCATTTAAGACTACTTGAATCATTGATGGACAATTATCTGGCTCATATTCTCAGCATCCTAAAAACATAAAAATTTTATGACAACTAATTTCTTTAAAAAAAACATAATCTTCAGGTGCATCAGGAATGATCCTTTTGTAAAATTGCGATAGCTAAACAATGTCATAATCTTCACCTTTATCATAAAAAGGAGGACGACCGCTCGATAGTTCCCACAAGAGCACGCCAGCACTATAAACTTCCATCACTCTTTTCATTTAGTTTGCGATGTATTTACATTTGTTCGAGTATAAGGAATTACTCAAAAAATTTTTGTCTGATTAGTTGCCGCTTCAATTTTTTTTGATAAACCACAATCTGCTAGTTTAATAACACCTTGACGAATTAATATATTACCGGATGCTATTATACATAAAATAATTATTGATTATTAACAACAATAATAAACAAAAATAAATTACATTATGCAAGATTACCAATTAAATCACGATGTACAATTCCTTCTCCCCAGGTAAGATTATCAAAATTCTCCTTCAAATAATTTCTAAGTAAACTGCCATCAGCAGCATATTCCATTACTAACATATACTTATTCTAATTTTTAAAAGTGCCCGCCTCAAAGAAAGGCTAAACTTTTGCATTAATAAAATTTAATTTTGTTGTACTTTTATAAAAAGGTAAAATTTGAAATACTAACCATTCAAAAGGTTTCTAGTTTAATTATAAATTTAAAAAATCGGCATATCAAAATTTTCATATTATTTACTACATTATTAGAAACACTCGACTCGCCACCATCAATTCAAAAGAACCTCGCATTCTATTTCAAGAAATGACTATTGAAACATTCCTACAAGAAAATACTTTTAACAATTGTTGTATATAAATCAATTAAAACGTATACTATAATAGTATAAACAATATGATAAATAGTTTATCTGATAATCTAAACTTTACAATAAAAAATATCTAAAATTATAACATATGTACCCGTACGATGATATAATAATTCAAACTTAATTATTTCATAATTAAATTGTATTATGTATATCTGTTTAAAGGTTGTAGCGCAATTAAAAATTTTAAAGTATAGGCATTATCTGCTCTGTTAGAAATCTGTAACATTTTAAATACCATGAATACGTTCACAGATGGAGGGGTGACAAATTTAAGAAATTAATAAATTATAAAGAAAAAATCACTCCTGTTAATGTATATTCGTAAATTTGTCGTAGTCGCAATGATAAAAAATCATGAATTTCACATTGGTCATTCATTCCAAAGTTGCGGAGGCAAAACCCTAATCCCATTTTGGCAAAACTTAAAACTTTTCGAAATTTAATTTTGACAGTGTCGATAAATTTCGTTTCGATGGTTTTCGATGGGTTTCGTCGGATTTTGATATTTTAAATAAAATTTGATTCACGATTTCAATTTTTAACATGTTGGACTGTGAGATTGTTTCGGAGAGATTTTAGACAAATTATTTTCAAGAAATTTTTTTTTAATTATACCTAAAATAAATCAGAATTCCAAAAGGTTGTATTAAAATGTAGCTGAAAGGATGAGGGTGATTGAAAATCTCATTTACTATTAAAGGTAATGATAGTTTTCCACTCGTCGAAAATTTCACGGTCTTAAAATATTTAGCAAAATTTCAATACTAGGTTCAATTTTGCCACCTGTTGAAACCTCAGGGTTTGCACAAAAAAAAATTTTTTTGCGATTAATCTTTTTGTCTGTACTACATAATAGTAACTCAAGTGAGTTAATTTAGTTAATTTATCATAAGATTTAATATTGGTAATATAGAATTGAATCTTCAAAGACTTAATGTGAAGGATTTAGATCCTGTGTTTTTAATAACTTGGGTATGTGTCTTAGTTTTGTTCCCACAAGAATCAATTATAATATAGAGATCATTTATCTCCTTCAACAAGCGTTAAGATATTTAAACAAATAGAAATATCAATTTATGCATTTCATTTCATAGTTTAATTTAGTGAAATCAAACCTTGAGCATGTATATTTTTTCGTTTTTAATTTAATATAATAAATAATTAAAATTATTGTATCAATATTATAATTAGAATAGGATTGATAATTAGTCCTAATGAATTAAATCGATGGACGTCTGTGTGATAGGTCATTTGACTATATTGAAATGACTCTTCAAAAAATCTGGTGTGAAGTTAAATAATAAAATTTAAGATGATTATTAACCAGATCACATGATACAATATAATTATTCGTCATTTTGACTTCAAATGACTGGTCATTTGTCACCTCGTGAATTTGGTGTTGAAGGCGTGATCCATGCTGCGCCGATCAACTACAACCAATCATGTGATTTGAAATGTTTGGCCGATCTGACCGA